TGCAACAGTTTTCTCTGTTCCACGAATATGCATGTCCGTCCGGGTAAGTACCAGGACTTTACAGAAGACCGGCGTAAAGTGCAAGTGTTTTACTTCTTCGCATCTGCAACCCTACGGGTGTTGCAACGTATCTGCAACCCAATGGGCGGCGGTTATCATTTAACTTCAGGTTAGCCTACAGCTGTATTCTCATATAAAAAAGAAGGAAGAAATAAAAAGAGACTTGTCATACGGCTATGTTTTGTAACCTATGACATTAAATTGCAATAAAAAACCCATTATGCGCTATAAATCGTCAATAAAACGCCTCGCCTAGCAATTTCAGTAAAAACAATCAAGAAATGAGTAGCATTTCACAGTCGTCACGACTGTGAACTAAGTACATTGAGATAGATTTCATAATGATTAGCTCTCTTAAATTACCTTCTAGACGAAATAACGGCTTAGTAACAAAGATACATATATCTAACTTAGGTGTAAAAATCACTATCTCACATTTTCGTCCGGTGTATGACGACGGGCTTATCATTCGTTATGACTGGACAGAAACTAGTCATACGTTGCAGAAGATTTTATGAAAAACGCACGGTGGTTTGTTGCCTCTCTTTTGGTATCAGGGCATAATCTTTAAAAGATCCATGTCATCTTACGTGACAGGGTTATGTGGATTCTTACTCACTAAAACTGGGGGGGACTCCGGGATCTCCTACGGAAAGTATCGGTGTCTGTTTCCAAATGGCCCAATGAGTCAATCAGCCTCGGAATTACGGGGAGGTAAAATCGCTAATACAGCGGGAAGTTGATGGATATAGGTGGCTCAGGATCGTGCTTCATGTCAGTCTGTGGGGGAGGCCTATGTTCAGCAGTGGAACTGGCTGTTATGATGATAATGAAAATTACTAATACCTTCTGTGGTAGGGTCATGAAGTAACTTTTGCTTGCAATGATCGAAAATGAGAAGGCCCGTCCTGGGTATAATCACAGCTTCACAGTAGATCGACGTAAAGTCTGGACTTCAATCTCACGGATGTTGTAATTGTCCACGAGGTGCGGTAACCATTTCACGTCAGGTAAATCGCCCGCAATCTCCACGTTCCTACATTAAAAGGTTCCGTCGTCTTCATCGACAGGGATAAACACCACGATTGAGACACATATGTTCTTCATCGTTTTTAAGATACGGCGATATTTCAGCACGTAACGATGAAGCTTAGCAATTTCCAAGCGGGAACCGCGGTGGTGTCGAAAAGCAACGCTCACAATAACAAACACCAACTCTGACACAGGTGAGTCTATTTTAGATTCGGCCAATGTAAACTTGCCGACTGTTCTGCGACTGTACACTTGTGCAAAATATTTCAGATTTTTTTCTCCACGAACTTATATATAGGCTTTACTTCATATTTCTAAAAATTAGACATACAATATGTTCATATTTTATACAAGTTTAATTAACACAGAACTTTGTTTAGTTACAAATTAAAATATTGAGACAATTCCTTAAAATTAGGAAATCTTATCCTTTAAACGAACAATTCTTGTATATATATATATAATTGGAATCACGGAAACGCCTCCAGCGATTTTCATGAAATTTAGTATGTGCGTAGATTCGGAGGCGAAAAATCGATCTGACTAGGTTTCATTTTTAGAAAATGTCGTTTTATCCCAGTTTTCAGGGAATGAAAAATATAAGTCGAATATGACGGTAAATTTCGCCGCAAGAGAAAATGTCAAAATAGCTCGGTCGGTAATCGGGCGGCTCCAAAACAGACGGCCGTGGTTCGCGTCACGATCATTTACACATTTATTTTTTTACTTTTTTTTCGATTCCAGATCATTGCTTTCTTTATTTTTAATTTTTTGTCGATTTGTTATTTTGTAATTTTTTTCCTTTTTTTTAAAGTTCTTTCTTTTGTGAAAAACATCAGTTCATATTTTCTTATTATTACGTCGGTAAGATCGAAAGGTCGAAAGGTCCTCCGGGTACTGTTATTAATAAGGGCAACTTATTTTTGATATTGCCATTACCTGAGAAAGGGACCCGACATTTCGAGATGCGAATAAAATTCCTAATTAGACACGAAGCAGCACGAGAATCTACTCGTTAATTATAATAATAATTGTATCATGTAAAAAATATATAAAATAAAAAAAAAACTTAATTCTAGCACAACTATTTAGCGAGGTCATGTTGGTGGGTTCCACCAAAACACCGGTTATAGTTAAGGTTAAAGTTTATATTGACAATTTCAAGCTTAATGACAATAACAAAATTGGTTGCACCATTGAATAGAATGTTAAAGTAAAACCCAATTAGGGTTGCTAGTTAAATTGAGAAATTAATATCAAAAATTAACAAAGGTTTCTTTTGTTGCAAACTTAACAGAAAAGATATATATCACGCACGAAGAGTTTAATTTTGTATTTATGTAAGCATAATGCAATGTTTCAGTCCAATTAGCATCCATTAAGAAAATTGCAAATAATTTGGAATTAGCATGTGTGCTTATATGTGTGATACTATAATATGTGAAAGTTAAGGTATAGACTATTTTAAAAGTGAAAAGTTGCTTTTGGGAAGTAAAAGTAAGGTATCATATTACAATAGCAGCTCAAACAAGTGGCGTACGAATCCTTATAATAAAATGAATATTTCTGCAAGCCGACACGGTATTACTGCAAAAGATCTATTTGCAATATCTATTTAAGAGTTTCTTTTCGGCGACAGAAAAGAAATCGAAGACGCGAGGAGAGTTCGGAAAATTCGACTAGATTACGCAGCGGCGTGTTGTAAGCACGCAACAAACGATACGTGTTTAGCTCGCCGAAGTACACAAGAGCGGCTGGTCTGCACTGTGCACTTAGCGCTCTATAGTGTGTGATGTGCGCCCGATGACGGATTTGTTAACTGATTTGTTCAGCGCGGCATAAGGCGCGAGGCACGCGCAGTGAGTGATCGGCCTAATACAAACATTCGCCAGCCAAAGGGCCAGACGGAGTGGAAATTGAAAACACGTTATCTCTGCATACCCGGACTACTCTTTCTACAAATTTAAATGATATAGGTAGATCTCGGCAATTTTCTGCAGTAAAAATTATAAAACAATCTAACACTATTTTCTTTAAAACATGTAGAAAAAGTACGAAAAGATTGTCGCCGCTGTGGGAATCGAACCCACGTCTTCGGCATTCGCGGCCTGACGCTCTAGCCACTGAGCTAAACGGCTGATAGCCACAGCGACGAAAATCTTAACGCCTTCTTTTTACATTGTTTACTATTTTCTTTGTCGTCAGATCATAAACTTCGGACCGATCTTGAATTTCATTTTTTCTATGCCACAGTAATGATCTGTTCAGATACATTTATGTTCATTAAAGATGACCATTAATGCTTTATTAAAAAACTGAATTTCCTATTATCATCAAAATATTGTTCTATCTTTGCCAGCGTAATAATACGTAATTTTGCAGTGAAATTTACCGTCGTATTCGAATGATATTGATATGATAGATATTTGTCGGTAAATATTATTGGAAGATAAATTTCCCGCTCTGTGTCACCAATTGTCCTTCCTCTTTTGAGTTAATCAATTGAATGAGCGATAACAATATTGAAATAAAACACTACTGAACAGATCATTTGACAGTGATGTCAGAGAACTTAAAACACAAAAAAAACTAATACAGACTAATAAACCAATATTAAGCGGTCAAAGTTCGTACTAAAGCAACGAAGACTATAAAATTATTAGGAAAAACCAACCACGACGCCAAACTCTTTCGTGGACGACTTGGAAGGACGCATAAAACAGGAGAAATCGCTTGACAATTCTTTTTTGCATTTTTGGATCGATGCCTATCGCTATGTTCTTAATGTGTAGTAACGAAGGCATCACAAATTGAACAATTAAGGGAATTATTTCCCAATTGAGATGTCAATATTAAGACACAATTTACTGCGATGCCACTAGTAGCACCGGATAAGGCACCACAAAATAACAGACTATTTGGTGAAAGTTAATAAATGAATCAATTAAAATAGATTGATGACGGCTTGAAGAGCTTATTACTGTGTTCTATCCCGTTGGGTTAAAAGATGTGTATTATATGTAAATGAAACATCTTTCTAGAAGAATCAGATTACAAGTATTCAAACATTACACCGGAAAATCTCGAAATAGTACGGCTGTAAGTTTCGCTGTGCTATCGTGGGCTACAGCACAGCGAAACTTACAGCCGTTTATACCAAATCACAAGTTTCTGCTTCCCCTTCCAAAGTATGTAGTCTTGTTAGACCGGGGAAATGCCAATCCAATCAACATCTTCCGTCTAAACCTAGTAGTGCCTTAGGCGTTTCATCTCGGAATGAAACGGAAAAAGCTGAACATTTGCAAAAGGTCGCGAAAATTTGTTTTTTTTAAATACCTCGCTTCCTCTGCAACAAAGTATGTAGAGCATAAAAGTCTCGACAAAGTCAATGATATGTCGCTTTTAAAAACGACGAGGTTCTCTTGTATTCCTACAACAAATCAGTAGTATTTTTTTTATTTTGTTACTTCAGAAATCCGTCACTTATGAAACGATTGGGCACTCTATTTTTGTTGATAAGGAGATATTTTCAAGGGGTTCCTATTTTAATAGTATTGGATTTGGACATTGGATTAGAAGATAAGCCCGGAAACTATTCTTTTTATGCAAGAAGATGTCAAGCGAGCTGGTAGTTCACCTGATGTTAAGTGATGACCAGCGCTCATGGACATTTCCTAGGGTTTCAAGAGTTGCAGATGAGTACCATTTAATAAAGTAGACTTCCAGGTTACCTCACTCACCAGACGAAACGCAGTAGTATAACACTTAAACTTCACGCCGGTATCTGTGAGGTGGTGTATTTTCCCAGACGGATCTACCTAGTCGTGCAACAGCGAAGACTGTTGCGTGGTTCAATAGGTAGAACAATTATGTTTACGTAATGAAGATATTATATTACAGATATTTACCATCACTGGGCAGCCACGTGACGTTCAACTGCAGCTCGTGGTTAGACCCGTAGACAGGCAGCGGGTAAGCTTTCAAACCCTGTGGCAGGGAGGCATGCTGCACTTGGTGGCCCTCTGCCATTCCGGAGTAAATGTCCTGCAATTGAAACACTGCGTTATACATCAAATTTCATGTGTTAAAACATAGTATGCGATACACGGCCGGTAATGATATTTGGTCTAGGTGAGAAGCCTGTCATGGTTGTCTTGACCCTACCCCCTCATCTCAATCCATTTTTAAAGAAGTTTGCTTACTTTGGATTTTTTTTTCTTTTTATTACGAATGAAAGATTCTCCAAAAAAAAAATGTTTTTTTAAGAGTTACAGCAAAAATAAAAGAAAATGTTAGCCTTTCGATTTATTTTCCTTGAATTATTAAATACCCTAAAAAACTATTTTTCTTTTTAATATCGATACTATGTTCAATGTACAGTTTAAGTAATAATTCAGTCTCTGCCTCAGAATTCGGGTTTGTGCCTTTTCAATCCTCGAGGTAAGTATTTATACGTCTACAGATGAATCTGGTGATGAATTTCAAATCTGGGCGTAAGTTCTTGTAAAATATCTTAGGTAAAACTCTCACAATATATCATTATGTCATCCTACACCAGGGGTAATGTCAAGAAAATGAAGGTAAACCGAGGTAATTTGTATCTTTGGATGTGCATCTGAAACCGGATCCATTGGTTCACGCGACTGGTACTCGATTAGCGCTCCCATCACTAGGCCTTCACAGTATCTGTGTTTTGATTAGTGATTATCAGATTAGGGGGTTACGGTATTAGAGTTATCGGTACGCTCGATTATGAAATTTTTCACCCTCACGACATAAAATTTTCATTTGGTATTTTGATATTTATGAACTAATTTCGACAGAAAAAAAAAACATTACATCGCACTTGTAATACAGCATAGTTATTTATACTGTCCATTATTAGACAAGCGGGTCTGCAAGACGAAGTGGCAATGGGTAGGGCACATAGTTCGCAGAACTGACGGCCGATGGGGCAGCAAAGTTCTCGAGTGGAAACCGCGTGTTGGAAAACGCAGTGTGGGGCGGCCACCAGCGAGATGGACTGACGACCTGTCCAAAATCGCGGGGCCTCGCTGGATGCAGGCCGCTCCAAACCGATCGAAGTGGAAATCCCTAGAGGAGGCCTATGTTCAGCAGTGGACGCCGGCAGGCTGATGATGATGATGATGATGATTACACTTGAGGTGATATTTTCGAGAACATTGACTGATTTATGTTATATTTTTTAACTTATAAAAAGTAAAGTAACAGCCTATGCCCCACTGCTGGGCAGAGGACGTAACTTTAAAGCCTTTAAAGGCTGGCCGTATGGATGTATCGCTCGAAGAACTGATCATCACAGATCAAAATACTCCTGACCCATCGTCATGTCCTCTGGACAGACCACATCAAAGTCACGGGCAACCGGGGCTGGGTACAAACAGCAACCGGTCGTGCCGGCCGGATCATTCTGCGTGCTCAGACGCCTTCCAACCGATGATGATTATCGGTGATATAATTTTATAAATGATCTAACTTTAAACTGAGATTGATGTTACTAACTGATGACATTATTGACTGAAGTGACTGATAACATACGTCAATAGGTGAGTGATGGAAGAACTAAGGATTTTAAAGGAAGATTTAATAATTTTAAAAGAGCGTCGGTTATATGTATATTTTCCTTCTTGTCCATAAAATTCTATTAACTATTCTGATCCTCGTTCATGTTTTTGAGAACACCGTGGATATTTATATCTTTAAGATAAATCCGCACTCCGCTAACCACAAGGGCGATGCGATAATTTTTTGCTGTCGAGGTTAAATTTGCCTATTAGAATGCTTCGATTTAGTTTGATATCATAGCGTCAGAGTTGGATATTATATAGTCAAACGCCTCAGTTTGCGGTCTGCGGGAACAATTTTTTCCAATCAAGATTGGCGAAAGATGATGATACAACTTCATGTAACATGCTAACGCATGGACTTCTTTCTTTTGGTGATGGAGTTCTTTCTATTTTAGTTTTTTTTTTATGGGAAAAGTTGCCAAGCGAGCAGTCGGTTCACCTGATGTTAAGTGAATACCGCCGCCCATGGACACTGGTCTGCTACACCCGAGGATTCCAGATGCGTTGAAAACCTTTTGAAAATCGAGCTCCGGCCACCTCACTCACCACACGAAACGCGAAAGTATTATACTTCCACTTCACGCCGGTCTTCTGTGAGGTTGTGGTACTTACCGGGACGGGCCTGCCCATTCGTGCAACAGCCGAGGCTGCTGCGTGGCCCTACCACCGTGACTTTTAATGACAAATGATAAAAAGTATGGCCTGCGTTTTAGCGGGTGCAAAGGATACCCCGCTATTCTTTCGATGAGAGCATAATTGTCGTTGTTCATCCCCTCTGCCACTTCCAGAGACTCCTCTATTACTTTATTTAACATCTCTTCACTAGTGCTCACAGCGCCGATGAAAATTGTAGCTATATTGAATATCGCCAATTGGGACAGCTATTTTAGCTATTGAGACTTTTACTACCGTAATTCAAGTTTTCCGATATTAATGCATCTCTTTATTATGGAGGCAATTCTATTTGAAGAGCGAAATAAATTAATTTCGTTTTTGGAATGGCCCGTACTCATGTTACGAGCTCATGTCATGGAGGTGGAAGTATTATTTTTACAACAGTAAAATGCAAAATTTTGTTAATTCCAATTATAAGTTTTTGTTTCTTTATGGAAATATGGGTGAAATAGAAGATTGTGCGGGGCGACTGAATTATTCATAACCAAAAGTATATCTTATGAAAAATTATTACAAAATACTATTGATTATACTGAATCTTGCTAAGTCTGGAGGAAGTCCAATTTTTCGCTTTGATGTTTTATCTATCAGATTTGAATTCGCAAATCAATTCTGATGCTAGTATGTAGAGGAAGAGAAGCAAGGTGAGATGTTTAAGATCTGTACAAAAAAATCGGACGGAACTCGCGTTTGCTACGGACATAAAAACTATATTAATCATGAAATAGGCGTCTGTCACTTGAAAAAAAGGGGAGCGAAAAAGTGAGATTGGGACTAAAAAGATCGAGGAAACGTGGATAGTGTCAGCAGACAGATGCTTCCCGTTAGTGTCTAAGAGAAATGTGAGCTTTTTTGTTAGCAGTTGTTAAACAAAAGCTCTCGAGTCAGCGCAAATACCAGACTTCTTAGACGATCCTCGTTTTAATTTTTAGCTTATTCGAAGATTTGTAAGTTGAATTTCCGATAATCACATTGTAAAATTTATCGCTGCAATCTATTGCAGTCCGTTGGTCGTAGACCTTTCCACCTCTGAAGGGAAAGGATAAAACGTTGCGGTGGCATTAATTTCGGCGTATTAGCCATTGCCAATCTTCCAGACGACTGTTTTATACTTACTACTAGCGACCCACCCCGGCTTCGCACGAGTGCAATGTATTATACCTATAAACCTTCCTCTTGAATCACTCTATCTATTAAAAAAACCGCATCAAGATCCGTTGCGTAGTTTTAAAGATCTAAGCATACATAGGGACAGACAGATAGTGGGACAATTTTGTTTTATACTATGTAGTGATGTAGATTATACTGACACCGTTAGAAATTACACGGTACAGTGTTCTGAAACCCTAAAACAATTATATTTATGTTACGAAACCACTTTGCTTAATTTGAGGAAACAATAAAAAAGACTGATAAAATAAACCACTGCTGTATTGCTGCTTCACCTCAATATTTTGACACAGCTCCTGTTTCAAAGGCTATAGGAGATTTGTGTTTCTAAGAAATCAACCACCCACCCTATAAATACAAGTCCATATTTTTACTGACGAAAAACAAAACGGACTTCAAATATCTCGCTCTGTATTCATTTTATAGTTGATTTGCAGGAGACCAAGATGCAATACCAATGCAAATCAATATGGGACCACATGGAGAGCACTTCGAATAAAAAAGAATCATAAAAATCGGTTCTCTCAATCGAAAGTTCTGAGGTAATAAACATTAAAAAAATACAATCGAATTGAGAACCTCCTCCTTTTTTGAAGTCGGTTGACAAACAAGTGTGAGTCGGACTCGCCCACGAAGGGTTCAGTACCATCTAATATTTAAATTCTCGTGTCACGGTGTTTGTAATTGAACTCCTCCGAAACGGCTCGAGCGATTTTCGTGAAATTTTGTGTGCATATCGGCCAGAGTGGAGAATCGGACAACATCCTATTTTTCATCCCCCTAAATGTCAAGGGTGGTCCACCCTAAATAGTTTTTTCTACCCTAAAAATTCCCTAATAATAATTTATATGGCAGAACAACGTTTGCCGGGACAGCTAGTTATCTATAAAAACGGAAAAAAAGGTGGAACATACATACTAACACATTACACAGCCCAATAATTTTTTCACTTTAAAAGTTTTTTCCTTCCTCTCTTTTTTCTATTTATACATTATATAAGTTAGGTTTTTTTTTGTTTTTTCTAATTTTATTATTTTATTGTAGTGATAGTTTTATAGGTTACTGTTCTCCTTAAAGGAAGTCTTTTATTATATGTGGTTTACCTTTAATTTAAATGCATATATACAATGTTTAAGTGCACCTCATAATAATTGTTTCTATATGTATTTAGTTGGTAAGCCTTGTTAAATAAATAAATAAAAAAATCATGTCTGTCTGAGCCCGATATAAATATTTTATAATTAGTAATCGGTCCCGTTTTAACGTTTGGGTACGGAACCTTAAAAAATAAAACAACATAAAAATAAAATTTATAGAACATAGAAGATTTACTACAAGATTTAATAATTTCGCTATAGGGAAAAGACTGGAAATTTATTAATAAATTATTGAGTATTTTTAAATTTAATTCACGTTGTTTTCAATAAGGATTAACTTTACCCTTATTGAAAACAACTGGTGCTACTAGAATAATATTGAAGAATTAAACTTTCAGGTAGTTCCAAAATTTATGTTACAAATATAGAATAACACAACAACAGTAGTTGAATTTGACAAAAAATTTCTGTGTTATTACTCACGCTTACTACCATCTCAAATAAAAAAAAATATCATACGTTTATATTAGTAACATGATTAAATATTTTATTTATCGACCAGGTATCGACAGTTTTATCTTTTTCTGATTTTGCCGTGAAAAAGTTAATATTGCACTCGATTCGTGCTCTGAACGTAGTAATGGAAGCTTTAGATAAAGCATTACCTTTCAAAGGCCAAAGTTAACATGATGCGAATAAAATGGTCTGATGGCTTATTATTCAAACAGTTCCCTAAGCGCGCCGGTTTAGTATTGCTACCGGCAACGCCGCAGATTAGATACCGTAACAGGTAGTTAGTACTTTTTTTAGGGTTCCGTACCCAAATGGTGAAACGGGACCCTATAACTAAGACTTCGCTGTCTGTCTGTCACCAGGCTGTATCTCATGAACCGTGATAGTTGGACAGTTGAAATTTGCACAGATGATGTTTTTCTGTTGCCATTACAATAACAAATACTAAGAAACAAAATAAAAAATATTTTAGTGAGGCTCCCATTACAACATACATGGTTTTTTTGTCGTTTTTATAGATAATGGTACGGAACCCTTCGTGAGCGAGTACGACTTTCACTTAGACAGTTTTTTTAATACGCACGACTATAATTATTTTTTTCTTGAAATCATTGATTGATCGATAATTGAAGATTCAGAAAAAAAGGTAGGGCCACGCAGCAGCCTCAGCGTAGCACAAATGGGCAGGCCCGTCCGGGTAGGTACCACGACCTCACAGAAGACCAGCGTAAAGTGGAAGTATGACAAATACTTTCGCGTTTCGTCTGGTGAGTGAGGTGGCCGGAGCCCAATGGGCGGCGGTATTCACTTAACATCAGGTGAACCGTCTGCTCGTTTGACAAATTTTCGCATAAAAAAAAAATTCGTAAAAGCTTTACAAATTAATATCTTAATGTATTTTGCTGTTTACAATACATACGGCTTTAAATTAATATTGATTGCACAATCGAAATTATGCGATGCCACGAAGCACACGTCTTTAATACCTTAGGAAATATCATCTTTATTTCAAAGAAAATGTTTATTAAAAATAAATAATTTATATACGAGTCTTTCCGTTCATTGTGCTCGAGTGTGAAGATTGAAATAATTCAATATGTGGGTGAAATTATGTTTATAAAATGGAAAAGAAAATACATAATGAAAGGAATATATTTGGGTGAAATATATTCCTTTCATTATGTATTTTCTGTTCGATTCAATATTATTTTTGGCTTTGAATGTATTGTTTTGTCTGATCGTGCTATCTCTCCACATGTATTGTATTATTTAAGGAGTGATAAAAGATTGCGAAGCGTATTAGAAAGAACCGGCCAAGTGCGAGTCGGACTAGCGCACAAAGGGTTCCGTACCAATATCTATAAAAGCGGCAAAAGAAATCATGTCTGTTATATGGGAGCCCCATTTAAATATTTTTATTCTATTTTTTAGTATTTTCTATTACAGCGGCAACAGAAATACATGATCTGTGAAAATTTCAACTATCTTACTATAAGGGTTCATGAGACACAGCCTGGTGACAAACGGACAGACAGCGGAACTGTTTTATCCTTTGAGTACGAAACCCTAAAAATTCAGCTGTTTTCCCAAATATTAGACTGGATTAAACTTTGAATTGATTCCTTTACCGAATTCGTGACTATTCGGACAGCCAATAATGGCGTTTTTGTGCAACGCAGCGGTAAGCAGTTCTAAACTCTGCTTCCGAAATCTTTATCTCTAATGGAATGATGAATGAAGGTTGAACTAAAAACAGAACATTCACGCTCCCGACATCATTGTTTAGACGGATCGTAAGTACAGTTCCATTGACGTCAAATGTCATGGGTTCGAATTCCACCGGGCACTTTAAAAAAATGTATTTCCACTTTTCGTCCAGCGAACGAACACAGTTTGATTTAACAATTTGAATTGTTAGTATAATGTCGTCGCCAGGTTCCGCCCATTCTATTTCCTTTGTAAAGAACGTGTGACTTCATAAAATATATTCAAACGTTTCCGTGAAACGAATATGTTGCTAATCTAAGTTCACGATTACTATGGACATGATTGTTTGTTTATTGTACGCATATTTACACTAAAATATATCTCGTCATATTTGTACTAAATCTCGTTGCAATAATATGCAATCCTCGTTGGTATTAATACTACGAAATATTTTTAAATCATCAACATACATCAAGCAGGGTGAAGATAAAAGTGGCACAAGATCATTAACAAAGCAAATAAAAAGTAATGAACCCAGATTGGAATTATTTTTTTAATTGCGGTTATTTGTAACCCAGATTGGATTACAAATAACCGCGAATATCAATAACAGACAGTCCAATTTTATTTATATGTATAGATGTATAAATTTAATTGTAATATATATACTTACTTTACCGTTACGTTCTCATAACGTTCATACATATAGTTCATACATATACAATTCACAACTCAGAAACAACTATGAACTCCAAAAATGTGAATTAAACCAAAATAACAGTTTTAAACGTTGTAAGATTTAAAAAAGTTATGGTCTGTGCTTTGTAACTTGGTGTGGATGACAGGTGAGAGTTTGACATGACTAGAGATTGAACATTTTTTACTAGAATTGGTAAGTTTCGATGATCCATTCTCGCTACCCAGTATGTAGTATCAATTAAAAAAAGGAAAAATATTCGGAATTTGATTACGAAGAAAAATCTTTTTTATTATCATCATTATAATACATACTTTGATAAATACAAAATTGGTTGGGAATATGCCTATTATAAAATTGTTTGCTAATCCATTGATATCCGTTTTTCAATCCTTTGATATCCATTTTTATACAAATACTAGATTTTGTAATTAAAAAGAAATTGCCACGATTTATTTTATTTATATACAGCGCGTCGTTACCATCGCGACAATAAATGAACCCACGTCTAACGCTACTTGCCAATAATCATAAAAAAATATAAACGTTAAACAAAATCCATAATTAAAAAAAATATTTTTCAAACAAACAAATTAAGTAAAAAAGAAACAAACTTTGTAACATCCTATACAACTCGCGCCACAGCGTCGCATTACAAGCCTCTCCTTCTAACAGTATGTTTTGTCTCTTTTAAATAAATTCAACCCATTCATATGCTTTGTGATCTTTACAAATGAACTTTACGTTACGCTTTTATAGGTAAGGGTGTTCTAAAATTCTTTGTTTTGGAAAATTTAATAACTCTGTAAATATTGATGTTTAAAGAATTTAAATGTTTAATACAACTTTAAAAAGTTATCCCCTATATGTGTGTTCATTTATTGTCGCGATGGTAACGACACGCTGTATATTATCTGTGGTAAGAGACAAAAGTGACTATCCGTGCGCTCGTAACAATAAAATAAATACTGCCTTGCGTATATTGTAGCGTCACATATTACGGAACTTCATGTTTGATTTGAATAACAGCTGACACCCATTTATGTCGATCTAAGATCTGTATTTTCCTTCAACTCCTACTCCTCGCCACTCCCCCGTTTTGGAACGATCATTATTTCTAAGATTATGGGTAAAGAAATGTTTTTTTTTTAAAAAAACAACAAATAATCATTCTCAACGTAAAGATTATATTGGTTGCATCATATAAAACGGTCATTTCCGTCCTATGCTAATTGAAAAAATTCCGTTTCAATCAATGTTTGGTCGAACCTAAACGAACGAATAAACAAGGTATGAATCGCATCGATATCAAACTAGATATCATAGATAAAATTCATGGAATACGGCTATGTGTAACGTTTTCGCGTGGATAAACATAAAGATATAAAACAAAATATTTCTAATAAAAGGTATGTAAAGGAATTTAATTAACTGTGAAGAAGCGACAAGATGTTTATTATGGACGTTACTCCGAGATTCTAACATTGAAGACGAATGATAATTGTTTGTGATTGATAAAGCTGTTATCAATTGCATGTAGTGAGTGATATACACAGTCCAAATTAATATGTTTAAAGCTATAGGACATTATTAATACCTATGTAATGTTACTTAAGCCATAGAACACTGTTCAATTACCATGGTTATTCGATATTACGTGTTACAATTTTACTTCGGAACCATCGATTTCAATCATCGAAATTATTAACACTTAAATAAAATATAACACAAGTCGCGGACGAATGGTTGGTGATAAGATTATTGAATTTTTCGAAGTGCGTATGCAATTAAGTGCCTATCGAATATAACAGGAGACGGCGTCCAGTATTGGATGTTTGCCGATTCAATTTCGGAATCGTTAGCGGCGCAGCGAAACTCACGTGAAAATTGGGCGGGTGACGCAAACCGCGGGAGCCTCCAAAGCGATCCGCACTCACACAGACACGCGCGTTTCGCACGAGAAGGACGAGCACACACACATCCACGATCACATCTGCGTAGCGGCTGCAGCGCATCGCGGAACATCGGCCGGATGTCAAATCCACCGAAACATCACTATGGATAGCGTACAACCGCACAAACAGCGCTTGAATGAGCAAGCCGTCGACTCAGCTCCTTACGACGGATATTGTGTGATTGCGATAAGCAGACGATAAGTTCGCCGCGCGCTAATCCAATATCCGAATGCTCGATTTTCAGGTCGAATGCCGCTCGCGTCTATATATTAAGTTTCAACAGAACAACATAAGGTTATAACAAAGCCAAGCAAAGTCACATAACAAGTGACCAAGTCAGCTTGCTTATCTGTAAAGTGTGGAAGGATGCGCATGATATGACAACGGAGTCATAATGTTTCGAGGTCTTTTACAGTAACAGTAAATTTGAGCGTGACGTACATGACTTGGCCCCTACAGTGATCCATGGAGGATTACAAAAGCAATAGTGTTAATATAAAACTTAAAATGTTTTTCCTTAAATTTGGACTTTTTATAGAGTACCTGTCATACGCTTATCTGCCATCAAAAAATGTCTAAAAAAAAAAACTTGGGGTGTGTGGGTAATTCTCCAGACGAATCTAAATCTACGTGTTTCTAGCAGTGGGTCGGTGTAATATAATTAATAATGAAATACAAACCTACAGAAAAGCCTACAATTTTTTTTTTCTAGAAGTAATCACACCATTGAACTGAACTAAGTACGAACTCATAGTTTTAATATTTCATTGAATACGATATAATGTATAAATCAGATAATATCGCAAATACTGTTATACTTATTTATATTCAGGCATGACGTCATGCCGCTTACTTTAGGTTTCTATATAGATAAATTTTATTACGTTATATAGATACTGTAACAAAAATGTGTAAAAATATAACATTATCAATTCACTAGCGATAAAACTACAATGTCACATAATAACATTTTTGTTGTTTAGTGCATTTGCTAGTGTTTTGTTTTTTTTCGGCCTCACTATCTAACTTGGTGTTTTTGATTAAAACATTGCTTTAATATTATTCAATTTTACTCTCCAATGACGTTAGTACATTGTAGAACTTTTGATCAAATACCAGCCATTGGAAATGTGTGTGGTGTGTTTCCTACGTATCCAAAAAAGAGGATACCTAAGGAGTTTCTTCGCCTTTTTCTTCTCCGTTAAAGGAACCTCATTACGAAATGGTGACTAAGAAGTGACTATCGATAGACGAAATTTATATTTCTCATTTCTATAAATTAATGATTTTATTTGATTTGATTTCGCACTTATGTAATGCAAGGCATTTAAATAATGTTTTTTTTATTTAAATTAGTACACACTACTAAGATTTACATACAGCCTTGTAAGTAATTAAAATGCTTTTCAATTTACTCAATTCCATGTTACCAGGGAAACAGGGTGTGGAAGAACAAAAAACCGCGTAATAAAAAACCAGGGCCGACCCCTCAGCATAGAAAAAGGGATAGGGGGAGATATGCCTTTGCAAGAGAAAATAAGTAAATGTTCAAAAATTTCCAAAACGGTCTATAGTCAGACATTGAAACAAGTTATGTGTAGCACCGGTGATTGAGAAAGTTAAAGAGTGGTAAGTTGACAAGGGTCCCAATTATTACACCAGAGACGGCGGGCGCAGAGTGACTACAAAAGAAAAGAAATTAAACCTGCGACGACGAGGTGTGTACTGTGCGTGACAAATTGTGTAGTAGTACAAGTGTAGTTGTAAGGTAAGTTTATTATGTAACATATTTATTACAAAAGTGCTAGCTAAGATATTTATAATACAATTATAATAAATATGAACACACTGCTGTGCTAGGACAGTTGTGCTAGGTATGTACGCGGCGGTGACAGCACAAAAAAAAAAAGAAAAAAAATGCTCATCAGAAAAGAGTACGGACCACGAGTCTGTAGAGGAAGTTTGCTAATAATAATAATAATAAAAAAAGTTGACATACCGTAGTGTGGGCTCGTTATGAGAAATCATTTCACTAGAAGAATGATGAGTTGAATGTGGTTGGAGGGTGTAAACTAGAGGAAGACCGAGAAAGATTTGGATGAACTGTGTATAGATTGTCTGTGAAAGAGGTGAGTACTGAGATGAAAGCTGATAGATGAAAGTGGAAGGAGAGGACATGTTGTGCCAACACCGCCTAGTTTGGGATAAAAAAGCAGGAAAAAGAAGGTATGCGCAATTATGTTAAAAGCTTTTTTAAATACGAGAACTTGAAAATTCATCTTGATGGTTCTTGTGGTTAAAATACTCCAATATCATAAAAGCATTCCAATTTATTAGAACTGGAATACTCTGAATCTAAAAAAAGCTATATTTACCTCGTGTTCAACTCCTGGTTCGGTTAAACGGGAAGACCAATTACGAGTATGATCAAATTGTTATTCGCGTTGAAAGCGTAGAAAGACGACAAAGGAATTTGTGTTTCAACTTTTAACGAACAATAAATAACGAAACGGTGGCATTTTTTTATTTATTATTATCTTTCTTATAAAAGTAGACGTCAAAGTGTACTTTATAGAAATAAACACATTATATAATGAATTTTGTTAAATACAAGTAGGGTTTCAAAATTTTTCCGAACCAATAGAAAGTCACACTCAGCTGTAGGAACAGCCTGTAGAAGAAACAAAAGCAAAAGATGAGAATACATTTTATGTGTTATTGAACGACTTTTTACTCTACAATTGAATCGGGAAAATGCTTTATGATAGACACGAGCAAAAAAAATTCGATCGGCTCTTTAACATTAGTTGATTTCTGCACATTTGTTTATTCCAGAACCGCCCGTGTTAGATCTGTGTTTACAATTTGCTTTCGATTTCGTTGTACCAAAAATAGGTGCATACCGATATCGCTGTCGTTGAAAGTACGAGCGTCATTGTATTTTCTATACCACGCAAGCAATGAAGGCTCTTGGTAGCTGGTGGGTCTTCAATAGTTGAAACCAGATAAATCACTCGACGATTCGTTTGAATTGAGGCCTCTGGTGCGATTACTGTGTTTTTTTAGATTCTTTTTTCATTATATTTTCACACTTTATTGCACACACCAAGCATTTATATACACAGTGGGATAGTTTTTAAGATGTTCATAGTTTATGATAGTTATATTTTGTAGGGTTTTTGAGTACATATTATAAATCATTACAGAAAAATTTAATTAACGCTTTTCGTTCGGTCCAATCATTCGAATTTTATAATTTACATTTAAAATTGGAAATGCTATCACATCCCATTTTAAATTTTTCTTCTCATCTGTATAATAGATGAAATCAGTTCAGGTTTTCATCGAAGTTTTAAGCGTTTGTCTGATTAAATCTTTGGTGTACCGATATATTATCACATTTAGAATCAATTTTGTCATTTGTTCTATGAGTTTCAATTCACCATTTTCAGAACATCCTCGACTATGAAATACAAACAAAAAAATATTTTCGAAGTGACATTTCAAATTGAAAATCATTACGGAATATATTCTTATGAATCTATCTGTATAGAGGATGTCACTGAAATGGCGTTTCAAACGAGAAACATCGATAAGGTATTAGTAGGAAGTCAACTCTAAATAAAAAACAAAGTTAATATTTCCAGGCACGACAGTAATGTGGAAAGGAATGGGAGTTAATAAACGCGAGAGTGTCGAACTGTTTACCAAATGTCAAAGACTGCAATAGAACACCGCCACGCGGAAAACTGATCGGAGGACGCTACATTTAGCTGATTATTTTTTGACGTGACACAATAACATAATGGATTCATGTACATTATGGGCCGGTAAATGGTTAAATTATACACGTAGCATGCACACGGATTTCAACTGAGATCGAACAAGAATAATAACAAGAACAACAACAAGACAATAACAACACCACAATAACAAGAACAATCTCCGCTGCAGGAAATTATACTAAAACAATAACTAATTTAAACTACGTTGCAATCTATTTAACTAACAATTTTATGATGTTTTATAACATTTCCAGATGATAACTTCTAGAATGCCTACCTAAATTATAATATTTTAAAGTAATTTACGTCCCTCAACTTTATTCCTTTGTACTCCAATTTGAACATGAAAACCTTGATTCAACTGCGTAGAACGTCAAAAACAAAACAATAGCTAAGCAACGCATACTTGCGCGTGCTGTTTTTCTTTTTTTTTAACATCCTTTGCTTTAGGATAGCGGTATCCTGTTTTGTAAGGACAAACATAAATTTCACGCGGACAAGCAACCAGATACGACACAACTATCTGTGGGTCACGCAAACAGTTGTCCCCTCTGGGAATCGAACCCACTACGCCGAGCCAATGCCTTGTCAACTGCTCCACAGCGTCATCTTTACGTTGGAATAGGTAAGCTGGATTAACAGTTGCGCGTTATCAATTTCGTGACTATGCGATCGTATTGTCCTGTTTGTATCCATTGACGTAGTCGGTATCAATTGATGACCGATAAGATTAACGGCGTTCAACAGCCATTTGTCAAATCATTACCCGTTGATTGGCTAAATGTATCGTATATTTGATATTGCTAGAAACAACGGAGCGATGACTTTGGAAGACTTTCTTTTTTCAAACGCTTCGTTTAGTTAGGAGTGAAAATAAATTGTAAAGGTACCAATGTCGTTCTATATTTAAACTGTGAATTTTCAGATTTTTTTCTAATCCACATGTTTTTAACTTAAAATATTGTTTCTTATAGTAGCGTAGAATGATTATAATCAGTTTTATTTCATATAGTTAATATTATAAAGTAAAGTAAAGTAACAGCCTATACCAGAGGGTATCAGAGCATAGTCCACCACGCGGCCCCACTGCGGATTGGCGGACTTCACATACCTTCGATTTTTTTGTTATTATTTCGAAAATATGCAGGTTTCCTCACGATGTTTTCCTTCACCGCGAAGCATGTGATAAGTCAGCACTTAAAGATAATATTATAATACATAAATATTATAGTTGGGATGACCATTTAAATTCCAAGTACGTGACTGATCGATTGTCAGAAGCAATAAAGTATTGTTATGCTAAAAGTTGAACATTCAATTGCTTTAAAAAGCAAAAACTGTTGAAAGGTCACACACAATATATGCCTACCTCTTGTATGGCCACGCAACTGTCTCTATTGCACGAATGGGCAGGTCAATCCGGGCAGTACCATGACCTCACAGAAGACCGGCGTAAAGCGGAAAACTGGAAGTGTCATACTTCAGCGTTTCGTTTATGAATTGAGGCAAACCGGGTCCACTTTATTAAAAGACGGCAACGAATCTGGAACCCTGGAGGTGTTGCAAATTCCCATGGGCGGCGGTTGTTACTTGTCTCAGGTGAAACGCCATCTCACTTTCCATCTCGCACATACATAAAATAATATGTATATAGGTAAGAGCTAAATCCACACAGTTAAGAAGGAACTACAAAAAAGCGTTGAGGTAATTTAAACGAAGCGATCCTGCTATTGTAACCTTCGGGCGTGTACTAAACTGCCGCAACAAAAAGAACCGTAATTTTTATCGTCCCATTAACTGCAGAAATGCTTGAAGAACCGTCCAAGTGCGAGTCGAACCGGCGCACAAAGGGTTCCGTATTATCTAATATATAAAATTCTCGTGTCACGGTGTTTGTAACTCAACTCCTCCGAAACGGCTCGACCGATTTTCGTGAAATTTTGTGTCCATATCGGCCAGGGTGGAGAATCGGACTACGTCTATTTTTCATCCCCCTAAATGTTAAGGGTGGTCCACCCCCAAATTTTTTTTATTTCTTATATATATATTTTTTTGTTTTTATTTTTTTATTATACAGCATACAAAAATACATACAACTCTACATTTTCACGCAGACGTAGTCGCGAGCAGCAGCTAGTTATATATAAAATATACCATTCTATATTATACGACGAAACAATCGTATCGGTGTATGAGCCCCACTTAAATATTTTTTTATTCTGTTTTTAAATATTTGTTGTTACAGCGGCAACAGAAATACATCATCTGTGAAATTTTGTCTAACTATCACGGTTCACGAGACACAGCCTGGTGACAGACGGACAGACAGACAGACAGACATGCAGCGGAGTCTTAGTAATAAACGCTAAAAACCAATGCTACGTAGGTGGTCCGGGTGCTCTTCCGTTGCCATCAAAGATGCAAAAATCTGTGACCAGCCTATGCGATGAGTAAACGCGAGTGAGAATACGCAAACGCTTTCATAATCACACTCTGGCGTCAGTGGACTTGTTTGTAGATTTGTTTGAAAGCTTAGTTTAGAGATTGAATGCAATTTTTGTTAGTTTAAATGTTTGTCCATCTTTATCACCCTTGTAGCTAGAATGTCAGATTTTCGAGTCCTGGTTTATGTTGTTTGGATTAATTTCGTGTGAATACGCACGCACGCACGCACGCACGCACGCACGCACGCACGCACGCACGCACGCACGCACGCACGCACGCACGCACGCACGCACGCACGCTGGGCTAGCTGTTATCTGTCACGGCACTCATGAATCGAACAGTACGAGCTATTTATCTTTTATTAGTTACCCGTGAAAGCACAGTATCCGGACTCCCTTTTAACTTAGTATACTCGAGCAACCTGAGCTCAAATCCCGGTGCCAAGAAGTCCTTGGTCAAAAATGCAATGTGCTCAGTGGTGAAGGAGAGCATCAAGAGGAAACCATATATTTTCGTAATAATACCAAAAATATAAATATAGGATAATAACGAAGTATATCACGATTGCTAGGACCTCTACAGCCCACCTACAAGCCTATAAGTATCTAGTTATGTTCTCATGGACATCTACAATACCTGAGGTTTTGCAGATGAGTCGACAACCATAAAAACAGTGGGCCCTGGTTACCTCACCCACCGGACGAAACGCGAAAGTATGATACTGCCACTTCATACCGGTCTTATGTGGGGCCGTGGTACACCCCCGGACGAGGCTGCCCATTCGTGCAACTGCAGAAGCAGTTGCGTGGCCCTACCACAGTAATAAAGTAAGTGTATAGAAAAAAATATGAGACACACACGTATTTTAATCTTCGCCTGTTTTTAAGTCGGCAAGGAATCTCTTATAAAAAACGTTTGTAAGCGCAGAACAGCACCTGCCCGTAAGACCGAGACTGAGGAGAAATACTCTCCGCACCGCTTCCATGTTTTACAAAACCAGTGTGCAGCGAGTGAAAAACAGTACTGTACCACTAAACAATGGGCCATAGACTAATATATATTGTTAAATACACAACTCAGCCTCTGTTGTTGCAGGCTTGTCCGAGGACGTATCAAGACCTCATCCTAAGGGAGGCTTAGCAATTTTGAAAGCTTTACAATCATTTATTGGTAATATAAGAATGAAAATGTATCGCCGACTTTTATATCGCCACATTTTTTTCAGTGTACTCAAAATCCATATTAATATTATAAATGAAAAAGTTAATACAACAAACTTTTCTCTTTTTCCTTCCATCTGTACTTTGGATGAGCTAGTGGTGTATGTATGACATCCTACATATTTATTTCATGTTTTACAAAACAAGGAAATCCACGCGTAATACAGTAAGTAACTAAACATTGAGAATAGTATGCTTCCAAAATTATTATGTCAATATGATTTATTAACACGTTGATAGACGTAAATCCGTTACGCGTATCAACAAGTTTTCGCTGCAGATGGCAAGCTTTTGGCACGAACGCACTAACTCTTTGTGTCGACGGTTCGCACGTGTCAAGGTGCACGAGAATAGATCCTGAAGGTCGGGGGTTCAATCCCAGATCAGTGTTCGCACACGAGGAAAATTATGTACTAGTATAAAATCTAATACCAACTCACGGAGCTCGCGTATGTTACGTTTAGACACTGCGAGATGAAAAATCTAGTCTCACACTTGTATATTTTTGGCTCTAATGCTATTACATATGTTTGCTCTGTTGAATTTGTCCATTGCGGTTAATGTCGACGGTCACTTCACAAGATGTACGCGATGCGGCGTCTGGTTTGAGTAAATACTTTAGTTGTATAGCAAAAAAACTAGCGCGCGAATATTTTTCACAACTTATATGGTAATTATCAGTGCATCTACACGTTAATATATTTCGCCTACACGCAGATTAAAAGGAACAGTGATGTTCTTATATATCCTTCTTATATTTTAAAGTATCCTTTGCAAATTATTTAGCAAGCTTCGTTTAATCTTGAACTAACACTTGCTTTGAATAAATATTATGTAAATTTAAAAAAAAAACTCAAAATCAAAGTGATTTTACATTTATGCTTAACAAAAGTAAAATTGAAGCTTTTTACAAAATCAAAGAGATCTCAGAAATAATGAAAATTTTTATAGACTATAGAACGAATATTACGAATATCTGATCACGATTTGCAACGGAGCCGCCATTAGCAGTGGAGCCAAAGATTCGATTAGTAAATAAACTAACAAAAAGTTAAAGTCATTGACGCAAGGCCGAATACCTCTTACATAATTATTGTTACTGTTACTATCGTAAGGCAGACATTATTTCTCGAATACACTCATTAATTCTGAACGGGCTCCAAAAGGTACATTTTAATTTATTACAAATATATATAAACAGATTTACTTCTCTTTTTTCGATGTTCACCCGACTGGCGCAAACAAGCGGTCAAAATTAAATAATTACGAACATAAACAGTTTATCGCCCATCCTCCGGCATAATTCTTTACCATAATGTTTATGGCCTGCGCCATGGAAATTAAATCAATCGGAACTCTTTGAAAATTTCCAGATTCCTGCGGTGTTATAGACTTGTTAGTTTCGGTAGAGCGATAAGAGTCAGCTCAAACTCAACGCCCAAAGCTCGCTTAAAAGTCGATTGTGTAAAAAGTTCTATCAAAGCAAGACACAAAAAGAAATTAACGACCCCTAAATCATGAACACGATCTTTTAATGTTTGCGTTACAAAGTGGTTTCCACAATTTCGAATGACTGAAACAGCCGTTTAATGTCACAACTGAAGTGCTCAATATACTCTTTAAATTTAGACCCACGGAAATTAAGGTTATAAAAGGCAAATAATCATATCAATAAAAAAGCCATATGAAAGGTGATTTGCATACCGTAGTTCACAATCCTATTTTATGTATGATAATATGTAGATAGGGGGAGACCTTTTACATATTTCATATTACATTTGTCGTTTCGGTATTAGAGGTAACTGTAACATTCATATACCTAGTTAAAATACACTTGTACTCTTGTGAAGAATAAAGTTAAAGCAAATATGTAGCGCACATAATGTTTACATAATGTACTATACATCAGTACATTTTGTAAAGATGAACCCAGATCTGGAAGAATTCTTGTGGGTTCTGGTTAACAATAGAACCAAAACCGGGTCTATTGTTAGCAAAAGAACCATAGAACTATTTAAAACAACTTACAGTTTCTCCTGTCGGGAACCCGTTACTGGACGGTGCACTCGTGGTAGAATATTCAACAATATCTGTGCTCGAAACCTCCTCAGCCCCCTCGTGAATTTGCGACGAACTTATTGCCGAGGGATTAGTCGCATTCGAGCCAACTACGTCGGTAGTTTTTCTCTCGCCCAACGAAAGCTTTCCAGTAGCGTGCAAACTCACGTACGCCGGCATTATCACCGTCCTTAATGTCGAGGGTATAGCAGAATCGTTTAGTATGATGTCTTTATCTGATGCGGGGTTTTTCTTCAGCCCCGATATGGGATTATCGAGTTTTTCGAGGTTTGATTGTGGTTTTGGTTCGAGAGGTACTCCGGAAAGAGGGGATGGTTTCGGTATTCTGATAATGGTGATAGCATTGGTCATCATCAGCAATAAGACGACGTGGCACAGTGCCGACAGCCATCGTTTCATTGTTAGCACATCCTATGTGCGCCGTGTACAAATATTTCACATTGTTTCTAAGTACCTGTTGCGTTATTCACTACTAATACATCATATCAATAATGCTTCGTATGTGTAAAATAGATCGTTCTAACAAAGCATGCTCTATCGATATCGAAGATAAACTTTCGTGAATACTTATTTATTTAGTAACCAGTGAATTGAAAACGATATTCAGTTTTCTAACTATAAAATGTTAAATTCTAACATCTATCAAATTAACTTATTAACATGCGAATAATGTCTCCACCGATATATGTACGTAAATAGAACTATATCATCATCGAAAAGTACAATAAAGATATTCTTTATTCGATTAGTGTACAGTTTTTTAAATTTCAAAATTAAAAAACACACGTCAGATTTGCAACCAGCGACCCCAAAGCGAGACGCTCCCAAAAACTTTTGCTGGAGTATTCCGCGTGCGGAAATCGTTCGCGTAATACGTTAACTGTAATCGGTACGCTATTATCTCGCGCGGAGATTCAGCCGGCACTGTATGATCGGCTGGAGGTGGGAAGCTACGCGGATCGCCTACGCGGCAGCCGCTGGGAAACTGACGGATGCGGTGGGCATACCGTTCCCTACACCCTACTAACGGAACAACTCACGATCGAGTCGAACGGTACACGAACTAAAGTCGATCCCGCCGTTGGCCTTTAGTCCAACTATCTTCTTATAAAATTAAATACACATACAAGAATACATTAATATACGAAAATGTATGCAACCTGAATGTAAAAATTTTACTTTTCGAGAATAAACTACCTTTATATGCCCCTTAGTATAAAATTGACTAAAACCCTTGTTAAAACAAAACATCACAATAATTACTTATATTATTGTGACGTACAATAATTATATTACTGTGTCAATAAGGTTTTCAGTGTTCACGATATAGTAGATAATAAAAGACAAACCAGACGGTTCAGTACGTTTAAATCAAATGAAAAATAAATATAGCGTACCGTGACATTGTGAAGTCTTAGTAAGGGCGCTATCACTGACAGGTTGTCGGTTTTTTGTTTACGCCGCAAAAAGCTCCGCGAATTCAATTAGTCCCATACGCGGATTGCGTGCCAGTCAGTTTTTGTGTAAGAACCGTCTTCGATAAAAACAAACATGTGAACCCTTATAATGAGTTCAATTTGATGATATGCCTGAGGCCTATTCCCAAAATAAAAACCTCTAAAGTTTACGAACACTTATTACCGTTTTGAGGCGTTACCAAACAAAAATAAAACAAGTACCTTAGCATTCTCTGACTAATTGAAGTAACAGGATGTCTAGAATTGTTTGCGAATAGGGTGAAAAGGCAAGAATTGCGACCAAGAATCTGAGAGCGGATGAAAAATAAGCACTACTAGTCCGAAAATTATTTCATCCTATCATACATCAAGCAACACGCTAGAAGCATGGCAAATAAGCGTGTGTTGGTGCTTTCAAAAAGAACAATTATTGAACAATTGTTGAACAATTATTGACCCATCTCACCTCTGAGCCATGTACATGAGCTGTTTTCTACAACCATTACTAATTGTCACAACGCAGGTTTAATGACTTACAGCCCCCCGAATAAACATGGTGCCGAAACGGCTTTAGCGCCATATGCACACTCTCCGCCAGATTATACAGAAGACTGAGGACGTTTAGCCTTTATGGACAACTAGCGACCCGCTCCGGCTTCACAAGGGTGCAATGCTGGAAGTTTTGTTTTCGACATCACATTAGAAACCTTTAAAATTATCATTGTTTCTTCTATCTATTAATTATACATATAATTCTTCTTGAATCACTCTATCCATTAAAGAAAACCACATCAAAATCCGTTGCGTAGTTTTAAATATCTAAGCATATATAGGGACATACAGACAGCAGGACGACTTTGTTTTATACTATGTATGGACTATGAGACAGACGAAACCCACCCACCAGATAACAAAATCCACCCTCCACTAGTACTCAGGCACAGTCTCTCAACATTTTCGTTCTTGGCTCTTCCCAAACCAACAAAAACATGAAGTCAGAAGCAAGATATAAATGTTGAAAAACCAGTTTAGACTCAAATCCAAATCAATATTAAGACTTTTAATGCTCCAATATTATTTTAATGTTATAAATCATAACAACTTATTCACGTTATTACGAAATGCTATTTAAACTTTTACGGAGCGCGAAAGCGTTTCTTGTAGTTTATGCGACGCGTTTATGCCGCAAATGCAAATTTGAAATATCATTCAGCGCCCGTCTGTAGTATTAAAAAGTGCGTGTTAGAGTACTTGTTTGTGAAATATTATTGGTTACCTATATTTCAAGTTTGTAAGATTAATAAATCAATAATAAAGGATATGTCAGAGAATTAAAATAAAACTCGTTGAATTAAATAAAACTGGTTGAGTAGAAAAAGTAAGTTGGTTATTAAGTTGTACAAGAATATTTTTTTTTGCTTTTTAGTGCATTTTAATTTGTTTTGAAATAGTTTTTTTAAGTCGGTTTTTTTGTTAAAACTTTTGCTTACCTTTTGCTTTTTAGTGAATTTGAAGTACACTAACTGATTTGTCTGAATATGGGTATCCAATTCAGCAAAGAACGTAAGAGCATTGCAATTTGATTACAGAAATTCTGACTCAGATCGCACCCTTACTGTGTGCCGTTACGGCAAAGTTCTATTGATCATCCTATTAGACTATGACAATTACTTGACCATAGCGACGTTATCGTAGGTATCCCGATAGCCTATAAAAGATTCGGCCGAGGATCGTTAATTTGCTCCCAAGAATCGAAGAGTTCCGTTACTTTGTCATGGATACCATAATCAGAACCTAGCCAAAATCTCATCTTTTTTTTTTTCGGGAAAATCCTTTATGAGCCAAAATCTTGAAGTACATCCATTTGAATATTTTTTTTGTTGTATTCATTTTGTGTCCACTTCCTTACAATAACAATGAGTGTTAACCATGAGGGGAAGATACTGTAGTCTGTAACACAGTTGTAAACTATCACATGCTACAGGGCTTCTAATGATTATATGTTTTTTCACTTTTTGTAACCAATAAACAAAAATAAAAAAAAAAGAATCATCGAAATCGGTTGGCGTGATATTGAGTTATTCGTCCATTTGTCACGCACATACTTAATGCAAATTTAAGACTTATATGGTTTTCTCATGGATGCCGTTGTCAGAACTGGACTAAATTGGGACCACTTGGGAAGGCACCAGCTTTCAAATAAAAAAAAAAAAGAATCATCAAAATCACCCAGTTCACCCAGTCGAAAGTTCTGAGGTAACAAACATAAAAAAATACAGTCGAATTGAGAACATCCTCCTTTTTCGAAGTCGGTTAAAAAGCTTATAAAAGTTGTGCTCACTTTTCTGAATTTGAACGTCAAATTTGTAACAGCCTTGCTACTGGAACTGTATTTATACTGTTATTAAAAAAAATATCTTTACTTAATTGAAACCAAAGCATCGTTGAATATTAAAAAAAAAACAACGGAGTTTGGTCAAGGACTTTATTTAGTTAAAAGGGTAAGAGCACAAACATAAACGGTGATTTTTGCGCGGAAGATTGCAGAAAATGGAAAACTCGTTGGTTTTGCACCCCGCTTATTAATTATACATAAATTAATTGAGAACAATTACACTTTATCAAATGAATCATTATGTACAGACTTTATCGGGTGTAATTTTAAATTTATATTTCGAACGCGAAGACTTTACGGCGTCCAATTTAAGAGACAAATTCTGCTAGTTTTTAAATTTTTAAAATGCAAGAAAATACAACAAAAGTTGAATTCCGCTACCCTTCTAAAAACTAATTATTTATATCTGAGTGATTGGATACGGGTACTGGTTTGTGACCCGACGCGTTGTTATCCTCGGGGAATATACCCATTGCTCGCTCAGAATCTTGGCTTTGAGTTAGAATAAATCTATCGGGCACAGAAGCTGTGGTGTTAATCGGGCTAGAATGTTTGAATATACTAGTCTACGTCTGCTGGGAAGTTGAGAAAGTGTAGTACACCGCTCACCCGGTAGGGCTGTACACGAGTGGCAGCTGAGGAAGCCGAACTTTTCCCTCCGTAGTGGTACGCCGGTGACACAGGTCTCGTGGATTTAGGTAATAATAGTAATAAATATTTTAAGGACAAATTTTTACGCAACGTTCTCTAGTCCCAAACTAAGCAACGCTTGTCCTATGGGTATTAGATAACTGATAAACATACTTTTCTTTTGTAAATGAATACATATCATACATATATAAACACGCAGACACAAGAAAAACACTATGTTCATTACACAATAATTTTCCAATAGTAGCAAGCGGCAGCAACCCATCATACCCTCTGGCAGGTCTCGTTCACCACGTCATTCGGGTCGTCAAATATTGAATATTTAATAATTTATTGTTTACACCCCAACTTAAGGTTAAACAAAAGACAAATACAAAGCCAATAAGCATCTCTTCCATTGAACCGTGAGGGGGCAGAAAATTTGACGTAGATGCAAAACAAAATATCCGAAACATAATTTTAAAAATAAAAACAAAAACAAAGAAGTACATTTTATAGAAATGTATAAATATATATGGGACACACTGCATTCACGTTATAGTAATAACATTTATGGACGCAGCACCCGAGCGAAAAGAACGGAAAATATATATGCCACCTCAGGTGTAAAGCGAGCTCTACACTTTTTAGGGTTCCGTACCAAAAGCATAAAACGGGACCCTATTACTAAGTCTTAGTAATAGGGTCCCGCTGTTAATCTGTAAGTCCGCCTGTCACAAGACTGTTTCTCATGAACCGTAATAGTTATACAGTTGAAATTTCAGAGATGATGTATTTCTGTTGTCGCTATAACAACAAATACTAAAAAAAAAGAATAAAAAATATGTGGGGTTCCTATACAACAGACATGATTTTGTCCCTATTAATAGATATTGGTACGGAACCCTTTGTGCGCG